GGGCTCGATCCCTAGTTCCCTATCTTACCTGTGTACAGTATTGATGTCAACCCGTAGACTTGAACCCGCGACCTGTAGGACCGCCAGTGGTAGGCAGGGTTTCGTAGGTCACAGCTTAGAAGGGAATCGAACTGTAGACCTGTAGGGTAGGAGTCTAGAGAGTTCCAAAGTCGTAGCTGTAGGATGCCTGAAGAGTCAAGGTCGTAGCTGCTACTTACCTGAAAGGGCAAAGTCGTAGCTGCTACAGTACCGAAAGGCCAAGTTCGAGACTTCTAGAAATGGCCTTTCGGAGTTGGCCTGTGTTCAGCAGAGGCAAGTGGTCAAGTGGTGGTAGTCCACCTAGCCCAGTCAGCAGTCCCAGTTAGTCAGTCCGGTCCTGTTCAGCAAGTACCGTCTGGGACTGTGTGCACATCGTGGGCCAAGGGATACAGGGCAGACCAACGCAGCGCAGAAGTATAAATCAAGAGGCTGCGTCCAGCCATTCATTCATTTCCTGCGGATGCCATGCGGAAGCGCTGCCTCAGCAGCTTGTGCGAGGAGGTCTGCAGTGCGCCCGAAGACAAAGTGGGCAGCAGTGTAGTGTAGCGATAGGGTAGTGCAGCTAGCGCTGCCATAGCTGTAGCATAGTGAGTGTGTGTGTTGTGTATGTCCAGTGTTGTGTGTCGGACATCCAGGGTGATCCAGAGTGCGAACAGTGAGTTGTGTGGGCGCTAAGTCGCCATAGCCAGTTGGAAGAGAACTCTTATCTGGTTCCGATATCTTTGAATACTGTGTGGGCGCATGTCGCCAGTTTGCTGTCTCGCTGTTTGCATGTGTGACGAGTGTGAATAAGCCGAGTCTGATTGCAACCTTGTGCTAGAATCTGAGTTCTAGAACAAGGTCAAAAAAAGAAAAAAGAAAAAAAAAAGAGAGTGGACACAAAAGGAGCCAATGTTGTTGTCCTTTGGGACATCTGTTAAAAGTGGAACGATACAGAGAAGGGTAATTAGCCAATGGCCCCTGCGCACTCAAGGATGACACACAAAGTCGAGAAATGGGTCAGATTTAGACAAAAAACAAAAGGACATAATGTGGGATCATCCACATGCAAACACTAACAGGGAGAAAGTTGAAGTGCTCGTGTTCCTTCGGGATTACTTGCATCTGTTCACAGTTTTCAAACAGTTCAGGAAACAGCTCAGGTGCAATGATCTGGCAAGTTCACACCACACTTCGACCCACCAGACTCGGCGGACAAGATACATAATGAACACAATGTGACCAACTCGCAATGGTTAATTAAATGATTAAAAAGAGTACTCGGTGCAAAAACAAAACAATTCGGAATTATTGACCAAGTTCAACGGCCTGGGAAGGAGTTAGGAGGGGAATACGGTAGGAGGACAGAAGGGAGGCTCCAAAAGGGAGAACAGGGAGGAGGGGGGGGGGGGGGGGGGGGGGGGGGGGAGGGGGGCAGGATGGGAAGCTGACTAGTCTGAAGACAGGAAAAAGGTAAAACAAAGGAGAAAGGGGGAAAATGATAAAGCTGGAGACATGAGTTATGTGGCGCACAAGGCTGCTAGGGTTGGCGCCCCCCGTGCCCGCCTCGCCTAGGGGGCCCCTGCTGCATGACTGGGTGCTTCCAGTAAGCTTCCTGCCCAGCAGGCGAACCTGCCAGGAAAGGCCATGGTTTGGGGGGTGGGATATACCTACCGTAGCATCCCCCCCCCTGCTTAGGCGACTAGTGCCGCAAGGGTAGGGCTGGTCTATTTCTTACTTCTCTTTTCCTCTTGACCTTTGCTCTGGTGGAAACATGCTCGCCGTTAATAAGCAACCGGACTGACGCCCCCCAGAATAGAAGGGGCAATGTTTTTGGGGGGAAAAGAAAAGAAAAATGTTCAAAGAATTAAAAATATAGACAGCCTCTACTTGTACACAGGCTTCCCAACTCAACAACGTAATACTCTCTCGCACTCTCTCGATAGTCCTCTCTGCAAATGTCTTCTCTCTCTCTCTCTCTCTCTCTCTCTCTCTCTCTCTCTCTCTCTCTCCTGTCTCTTATACACATCT